TAATAGCATGCAAGTGTATTTTCTTTAACAAGAAAATGTTAGACTGTCTTGAAGTCAAAATGAATCTCTTCTCCGGGTTCTAACTCTGAAATGTAAGCTTTTGAAATAGAACACAACAGACTACACTGCATTGTCAACACTGAAATTTCAATGTACTTTAAGAAAATTAAATGTTATAGGCCAACATAAAAAAAAGGTGATTGTGAAGTAGAATGAAAATCACTGTTTAATTTGATAAGTGAAAATTAGAGCAGCCCAAACTCAGCTGGTCTGAGAAAATAAAGTATTAGTTGGACATCACGCCATACTGTGAAACAAAAAAATATTTTTTCATGCCTTTGTTAAAACATGGTAATTTTAACAAAAGCAGATGTTTTGGTTTTGGTTAACAAAAGTGCCTGCAGTACTTTTTAAAATCCTCTTGGTGTCTCTCTCCACTATCTGTAGCTGGGTAGAAAAAAAGAAAAAAAAAGCACACGCACTTATGATTCATAACATTGATTTCATTGCATCTAAGCCAGCATGATGCTGCTGACGGGAGACGTCTGGTAAGATGAAATAAGCTGACCCTGAAGACGCTGTGACAAAGTGGGAGAAAAAGTTTCCTCAAAGTTTAGCAGTGGCCTCTACAGCGTGAGCGGTCCCCTCACCCACTCAGCCTCATCTCTGTCAATCCATCACAGAGTGAGGCGAGGGGAATAAGGAGTGGATAGAGTTTCTGCTGGCTGGAAGATGATCCTCAGGTATTTGAGGAGAAGCCGGGCTAAGGTCTCCGTCAGTGTCACCTTCAAGTCTGATGGGTGTCTGTGTGATCCGTCAGGCTCTACCGTCCGTCTAAGAGAAGACCAATTTGACCTCGGCCATCCGCGAGTCTCAGATTACACAATGTATAAAAATGGTGGGAGCAGAAATTGAAGTTAAAAACAAAATAAAATGAATAAATAAAACTATGTCTGAGGGGAAAATAAGGCTGCTCATCATTCTGATCACCCCACTATCTTAGGGAAACATGGTGGTGGCACCAGCATGCTGTGGGTAAGAAGGAGGGGAAAAAAGAAATAAAGATATGTTAGAGGCGGCTTGGGAAAGAATAAAACATTCAAGTTTGTGGTTTTGATGTGACCAATATAAAATACTGAATACATATAAATACTTCTGAAAGGCAATCTGTAAATATCAATAAGATAATTTTGCTTTTGCTGTGTTTGCTGACTACTGTTCTCTGTATTAAGGATCAGCTTACATTGAGTGTAGGATTCACAAAAACTCCAGAAATCCCTCTCATGTTGGAATGTGGCTAAAAAAAAGCTTCACTCCAGTCACAAAAAGGCATAAACGTCCTTGCTCAACTTTACCGCAGCCTCTGAGTGACTCATTCATTCGTTGTCATGAATAAATCACAAACTTCCACTCTGCCGTGCTGGCTTCACGAAAACTCACAAACAAACACAGACATGCAAACACACACTGCTGTTGATCTTGAATTAATAAAATGAAGGCCTCCTCTGCTGTGATCCAGGAGAACGAAAACTTTTACGAGTCTGCCATTATTTCCTTTTTTTTAATTTTTTTAAATTTTTTATTTTTTATTTGACCGATGGAAAGTGCTTTAAAAGTAGAAAAGTGAAAAGCTTTATTTCTGGAACAATTGTTCATCACCACAGGCTTTAAAAATCAGACTCCACAGAACAGAACATGCTACGGCGCAAATCCCATCTTATCTTTGGGGGGGACCACAAACAGGAAAATATCTTAAGAACAATTTCAGGGGAGAGCAAAGTTACAGTGAAATGTAACATAAAATGTGGGTTAAAAGATTTTCAACCACATTCAGGCTGCAGGAATGAAAATGACTAGTAATGCACATCAAACATGTTTTATTCACAGTAAGCAGATTATTGAGAAACAAAACTAAAATTCAAATGTTGCTTCTATACGAGTTTTGTTCAGCCTGACTGATATTATCTCCTTTACAAAAAATTAAGGTTATAAATAAAAGAGCTTTAATGAGTAACTCCTCTTAATAAAATTAATAAACATTGATTCATTTCATGTTTGTGTTGCAGAGCCACAGCTAACAGCTAACAGCTAGCTCCTCACTTCAGCGGCTACACTTTGGACTGAACCATTGTTCTAATAATGGTGGCCATTTATCTCTTTATTTCTGAGATAAATGGCAGATTTATTACTGTCTTTTGCTGTTTCATATTGATATTATTTAAATGAAAATGTTCCTCCAATTATTTTTGAGGGGGAACAATTCTAGTCTTTTCCAAGATTTGGGGATTTACCCCTATGAGACCATGTATATTTTTTTTCTATCTTCTCAGCTCAGGCGGTTGTTGAAATAATACCTTGGCGTACACCTCAAGAAGAATTTTGTCACTTTCCATTTTTAACACTCCCCAGTCCTGCACTCTCCTGGTGGCTCACATCTGCCTACGTTTCCTGATGGCTAAACCCCAACACCCATCGTTGCTGTATGGGTCTTTACATCTTTTTTTTTATTTTTTATGTTGCACTCCCTTGTCATGAACAGTAAAGCTTTTCTGATCCCTAATATGTCTGCATTCCCAATGTTCATCTTGTTTTTGTCGCGCCTCTAATGCCCTTTTCCCTTTTGTTTGCTCTTTTGTTTGCTCTTATTTCCCACCAACTCCCAGTCTTACGTATCGTCACCTTTCCCGATCTCCCACTCACACTTTGGGGAGAAAAGGCTTGTGAAATTTCCCACAGGGCTCGGCAACACGAGTTTGCTTCTCCAGCGAAGGAAATGGACTCGCATCCGAGGCATTGATTTCTTCCGAGCATAATGGGAAGGAGATGGCGGCGAGGTGAGGGCTAAGAGCCCAGTGGTCGATACATATTCTCATCACAATGCCTGATGTTCCCCTGTTAGGTTTCAGTGACCCGTACAGTGCGGGCGGCAATTCTGATCAGGTAACTCTATTAATTTTGTAGAACAAAGCCACAAGGTAAAAAATAAAAAATAAAAAATGACAGAGATTATTTTATTTTCATTATGGATGTGGGCAATAATCTGAAATGTGTAGTGCAGGAAGTTAAATGGGGATGTTAAATGTGTCTCTTTAGTGGGAATGGTGGCCATAAATACAATGAAAGAAAGACCCAGTCAAAATTGTTAGTTGTTACGCTAACAATTTTGATTGTTTTAAAAAATGGTTGATATATCTTCTCTTCACAGTTTACAGAAATGGTGACATTGCTGATGCAGGTTTGTGGTGAATGTGGAAACATAAACCTTATTTCAAAAATAACTTCATGGGATAGTTTTTGGATTTTTTTACAGAAGATTTTGTTTAAAGGACTTTTCTCACCCACAGTCTCTATTTCTATTGGTATCTTTATTTTTTCCAAATCCATATTAATGTGTTCTGGAAGCTGAAGCTAATGGTTCGTCTGAGACTAGTCATGACCAAAGAGGACTTAGACATCTAGATATTCATGTGATTATTCATTTGAACCATTAATCCTGTTTGCATTTAGACGGCATTTACGCCAAACGTAATAATAATTCATACAGGAAATGGAGGCAGAAGGCAGTGTGCCATTAATTAAGTTCCTGACACCAACATGTGCCAAGGATGGAATATGTAGTGTGTCCAGTCAGCAAAACTAATGAAAAGGTAAGTAATAATTCAATTTCCTGTAGAAAAGAAAAAGAATCCTCAGAGCAGAGGACCCTCATTCAGCAGATTTTAGCAATGTTAAGACAACTAAAAGTGAAAAATATCTATTTTCTCCATTCGCCTTGTGCGGTGCCTTTGTGGCAGACATTAATCATCACAATATATGAAGCTCATTGGCAACTCTTGCTTCCTCTCCTGCGTAAATAATTAGTGACCTCTGTGTAAATAGTATAAAGGTCAACAAAACACTTGCTTTTACGAGACATTTTGAGGCAGGAGTTGTTTAACACTTTGATCTCTGTTCTTCTAAGGCGAGCTGTTAGCTTCACCTACTGGACCAACAAATCAAAAAATGTATGCTAAATGAAGACACCAAAACCTCCTGTCAGGAAGATAGTTTCTACATATATCACCCCTTCATGCTTAAATTGCCTTTTTTCAATTATTGTTTAACTCCAGCAAATGTTTATTTTCAGACTTTTAAAGCTGAATTTTGACAGCTTTAAACTACAGCTCAGATTCCTCTGAGCTGTATTCAGACTATAAGATTTGTAGATGCTTTTCTGCTGCTCAGAACAACTCAGCCCCTTGTGGGTCTTTGGCAGTCAAATATAAATTCTGATTTGCTTGCCTGGCAGTCCTACAAGTAGCCTAGAAATAGTTTTTGGTCTCCCTGACCTCAACTTGACCTCCGGCGTCGTTGCAAACTGACATTTTTCTAAGTGCAACTGAGCAAACAGCTGAGAAAAACCATAAACCTCCAGAATTGTAGTTTTTTTTTTCTTTTTAATTATTATTATTATTGAGATTTTTCTTCACCAGCTTTATTTTTAAAACATGCACTTGAATTGTTATGGGGAATGAGGAATCGCAAGAAGTAATTCAACAGGTGGTGAAAGGCCAGGACTTAACTACTTTTTCAAACGCCATTTTATTTGAAACATTTCTTTTCTCAATTATTGTCAGTTTGTCAAATATAATATCATTTTTATGATGGTTTTCAATGCCAGAATGCCAGAACATTCAACAGCAAAATGTCTACTTTCCAGACTTATCCAAGCCACCTCATGAGGCACCTGAAACCCTCCATAGGAATGTTGCGAGTTGATGAAAAAAAGTAAGCCTCCCTTTCCCAAACACTGACCTCTGCCAGCTTCTCAGCTCACAAAGATAGTTTTCCTCCACCCACTGCAGCAGCCTCCATAAAAGCCCCTCTGGCACATCTTGAATTCACAAGGAAGTATACTGGATGAACTTTCGGGATGTACAGATAATCTAAAATGTATCTAACAGGAGTTATCTTTGCTGAATAACATAAAACACTGAGAGAATATCAGACCATTTGAGAGCATGAGGAACACATTCTGCTGTGAGCTTCTCCTTTGGACAAGTGTAATCTTGCTAAGCGGTCTTGGCTGCTTGTGTGACCAGGATGGCAAAGTGAACACAGAAGGCATTGAACAGTCGAAGACCCCTCACCTGATCTTCATCATGGTGGACGACCAGGGCTACGGAGACATCGGCTATCACGGCTCAGACATCCACACTCCTGCTCTGGACCAGCTCGCAGCAGACGGCGTCAAGCTGGAAAATTATTACGTCCAGCCTATCTGCTCTCCTTCTCGCAGTCAGCTCATGACAGGATGGTAGGCGACTATTTGTTTTCATCTGATGGCTTTTAACTTAGCTCCAGAAGGCTATTTCTCAATATGTATTACATTCATAACAGGAAAAGGACAATAGTCTTAGTATTTTTGTTTCTAGTGCAAATATCTCAGTACACTTGAAATAAGACTAAACTAACTTACAAGATTCTGTAAAATATAGGAGCTTGTTTTGAGACAGTAATGTTGATGAAAAATACTAGATCCACAAGTACTAACTACTTTTTCACAAAAATTTTATGAAGTGATTAGAGAATTGGTGAAAGTTATTTTTATCTTTGTGTACATTGCCACATATCACACATTGGCAAACATCTCTGTGTTTGTGAATGTTTTAGTTCAAAGAACAAAAACAAACAGCACAATTTTACAGTGACATTATAATCAGCACTCACCTTCAAATCAGTTTTATCTTGGTTTAAAACAGTCTAATCTCGTGTTTCTGTGGTTGCAGTTACCAAATTCACACTGGACTGCAGCATTCTATCATCCGACCGCGTCAGCCGCTCTGTTTGCCCCCAGACATTCCCACTCTGCCCGAGCGCCTGGCTGAGGCTGGATACGCCACGCACATGGTTGGGAAATGGCACCTGGGATTCTCCAGGCCAAACTGCCTGCCCACACGGCGCGGATTTCAGAGCTTCCTGGGAACCCTGACAGGCAGTGGAGACCACTTCTCCTACCAGAGCTGCGATGGGGCTGAAGCCTGTGGATTTGACTTGCATGATGGGAACAGACCCGCCTGGGAGATGAGAGGGAACTACTCTACGCTGCTCTACATCGAAAGGTGAGGAATAAACTAAATTTTCCCTAAAGAGGGAGCAAAGCATAACACAATGTCATGCAAAAGCATCCATGCTTCCAGGTCTTTATTATGGTCATGTCTTTTTGAGTAATCAACGATTAGTTAAAACAATTAATCGTTGAAATACGGGAAATGTATTTTCCCACCTGAGCAGCAGGTCTCTGCAATTCTTCTAGAGCTACTAATGGAGTCTAGGTTACTTTTCTGCAGTATGTCTTGGCAGTGTGGCAGCTGTCCCAAACTCTTTCCATTTCTGAAGAAAATTAACACTGCAAGATTTTAGTTAGGAATAGCAAGAATAGAGTGAGTACATACAAATGAATAAGTTAACTCCACTTATATGTGGGGAAGAGAGTCTAAGCAGAGAGATCCAGACTTCTCAAGGTGTTCCCAAACATAGTCCCTCCAACATGTCACACTGAACTAACAAACTGCAGCTTGTTTTTCTGACATGACAAAATGTAAACAAAAGAAAGATACTTTGAAAGGTGTTGCATCTTACAAAGTTCTGTTTTTCAATCCAGAGTCAAGAAGATTTTGCAGAGCCACAATTCCCAAAGGCCACTCTTCCTCTACCTGTCCCTGCAGGCCGCACACACTCCTCTGCAGGCACCGGACCTTTTTCTGCACCACTATGACGCACAGAGCAATCGTCAAAGGCGTCACTACGCAGCCATGCTTAGCTGCTTGGACGAGGGGATTGCAGAGCTTGTCAAAGAGCTGAAGACTTGCGGTCTCTATCAAAACTCCGTCTTGATCTACTCATCCGATAACGGAGGACAACCGCTCTCAGGCGGGAGCAACTGGCCACTGAGAGGAGGGAAGGGGACCTATTGGGAAGGAGGCATCCGGGCGGTGGGGTTTGTCCATAGCCCCCTTTTGAAGAGGAAGGGGATCGTAAGCAGAGCCCTAATCCATGTTTCTGACTGGTATCCCACATTACTGGGGCTTGCAGGGACCGTGCAATCCCACCACAACCTGGATGGCCATAATGTCTGGGCCAGCATCAGCGAGGGTTTGCCTTGCCCCCGCATGGAAATCCTTTTAAACATCGACCCTATGTCCAGGAAACCTGGGGAGCCTTACGACAAGGCGCTGGAACTCAATGGCTTCGGGATCTGGGACACAGCAGTGAGAGCCGCGATAAGGGTGGGCGACTGGAAGCTACTGACAGGAAATGTGGGTGATGGAGACTGGATACCACCACAGGCTCTTCCAGGTGGCTCGGAACGGTGGCAGAAACTTGAGAAATGGCGCAATCGGCTGGGGAAGTCAGTGTGGCTGTTCAACGTCAGCGCAGACCCGTACGAGAGGTTCGACCTCGCCGAGGTTCGTCCAGAGGTGGTGAAACATCTGCTGGCTCGACTGGCGGAGTACAACCACACTGCTGTGATGGCAAAGAACCCACCCGATGATCCTATGGCTGACCCAGAACTACATGGGGGAGTATGGAGCCCATGGCTAGGCCTGGAGGGGTGGGGAAGAAACGAGAAGGATAAAGATGGAAAAAAGGGGAAGATTCCAAAGTTTAGGCATTGCAAATTATGCAAATTAAAAGCCCTATTTAAAAAAGTGGAGTCACGTCTGCAAAGAAAAACCCTTTTCTAGTTGACAAATGTACACACCGAACATACGAAAAGAATTTAGTTTATTTCATTCTCTTTACAAACTACTTTAGCAAGTATTAGCAAGATTTATACATTTTGTGGTTACTGTAAATAAACAGCATGTAAGTATAACAAGTGTTACCAATTTATTTCAAAAGTTAAACAGCTAACATGTTTAGAAGTCATCTCAGGGATGATGAAAAGGAAAATAAAGTCCAGAATCAGAAATTTGAATCCAGTAGAAGGCAAACAGAGAAGAAAGAAGTAATTAGTCTTGATGAGCAGTAAAAAAAAATAGCACAAATCAGATAAACGAAAACCCAACACCGAATCCTGAAGGTCGTCAGATAAAAAGGCCGACAAGCAGAGATGACTGCGTGTCTGGGTGTAGACAATGATTCATTCTCTGTCCTGCAGCCAAACTGCAGCACAGGGACCGCGGACCTTTGCCGGACTGAGGGAACAGAGTTGTGTTAGTCACTGCCCATTTATTTCCTACATCAAGAAATGTTTTGATTTGTGCAGATGGAGCCGTAGTGGTCGCATGTGGAAGTAAGGCCTGATGTGACCTCGTAATCATGCGAGAGGATGTTTTCAAGCTGAGATGAAGATACCCACTGGGAGGGCTGCTGTCAAATGTCATTTTGTGCTCTTAGTCTTGGGGGCGAAGGGACACATACAAGTCTGATTGCCGTTCTCTCTTTTGGTCTTCAAAGACCTCTGACCTCCACATGTCTATTTATGGTGGCCCTAAAAGTTCAGCAGCCGATTCAGCCAGACTTCTGTGAATATTTACATGCCTTAGACTAATTTTTAATTAGTCTAAATAAATAAGCTGTTTCGGCGTTTGCCATGATGAACACTTCAGGACTTTTCAGGTCTGAAATTTGACGAGGCCACTCTACCACATCAGTTTATTTGGATTTAAATCATTCGATGTCAGATTTAAACTCAAAATTATTTGCATGAAAATTATTTTCATTCAAGCAGAATGTGTGTGTTTTTTTTCTAGGAAATGAGAAAGGCATTTTCTCATTTCCTAGGCAACATTAGGCTTTCAAGCCTAATGTTGCTGCTAAGCATGATGCTTCCACCACTATGTTTGGCTCAGGATTTCTACCACATCTAGCAGTTTGGATGTAGGCCAAAACATGATTTTCTTTTCAACAAGAGCTTTACTATATGATTACATGAATCATATAGTAATGAGAGCTGAAAAGATAAGCAGCTGGCCACACTTTTCAGATTTTTAGATTCAACAAAAGTATCAGAAATCACTTCATAAATCGGTTCCATGTTGGCCTAATAGAAAAAATACCAAATAAATGAATAAAAAATTCTACTGTGATGTCCATCAAAATCTGATCATAGAAAAACAAGATGACAGCAGTGCAAGCTTTTCTTTTGTAATACAAAGTTACATTTTCTGCAAAAGCCTCCATTACCTCCATCTCACCACATAAGAAAGGATATCTGCTTATGAAGTTGAGTTGTCAGTGTGAACATCTGTCCCCAGGACAGCGGTCTGGGGAAGCCGCAGATTCTACCAGCGCTGTCTGATCCGCTGTGATGTTTAGCCTGTTGGTGAGGCTTTTTCTGTAATGCAAAGTGATGGGATCAGATCACAGATGGTGCTTTTGCCCCATCCACCCCAACAATACACTCCAAAATGGTTAGTTTGTTGCAGCTCACTGTTTGACCCAAATTTTTAGGTATGCATGTGTGTGTGTTTGTTTGTAATACCTTGCGTAATAAACAACCATTTTCCTGACACATGCGACGTTGTGGGGCGGATTAACTGCTCCTTGTGGGGACAGAAGCCGGGTCCCCACAAGGGGAAACGCTGTTTTGGGGTCAGGGGTCAGATTTAGGTCTATGGTGTGAATTGAGTTTCGGATAGGGTTAGGGTAAGGTTTAGGCTGTAGAAATGAATGGTAGTCAACAGAACGTCCTCCTAAGATAGCTACATGAACGCGCGTGTGTGTGTGTGTGTGTGTGCGTGTCTCGGACTGATTTCTGACAGCAATCCCACACGCTCCGGCGACAGGCGGCTGGTTTCCCTTCACGATAAATATTCAACTGTCCTTCAACATCGTTTCGCCCCTCGACACGGTCAGCTGCCACGCTTTCCTCTCCTCCCTGCATTTTCTCTCCGTGTCCTTAAGTTCCTTGCTCAGTCCCTCTGCGAACTACCCTCTTGGTTTTTTTTTTCTCATGCGCATCCCACTCACTTGTTGGTGCTCATTTGGAAGATCAAACTGAAGTGGTGTTTTGCTGGGAGATCTGTGCTCTCCAGCTAAATTTGAAGAGTGGAGGAGGAAGGAAAGGCGTCCTCAGAGGATGCATAAGGGGGGAGGGCTACTGTCTCTTTGAGTGCTGGCAACGTGCTTGTGATCAGATTAAAGTCTTGTTCCGTGAAATTCTCTCAGTGCATCTGTCACACCCAGACACAGGCTATGACAGAGAAAAAATGTTTTGAATATTTTATTTCAGTTGTCATTGTCTGCTAAATTTAAAAATGACTTCGTACATCAGACTTCAGTTTTACAAATTGTTTAGTGAACATTGGTGCGAATAAAGTGTTTTTGACAGCCTTGTTTATTACAGTTTTAATTACAGTAAGACTGTAATAAATGTAGAGTAAAACAAATTTTTATTACAGTTTTACTGTACATTTATTACATTGAGACTGTCATAGAATTACAGTAAAACTAATAAAATTACAGTATTGCTACTGTAAAAAACATTAAAGTTACAGCATGCTGTAATTCTTTCACAGCGTTCTGATACCCTGCTGTTTATGAATCTTAATTATGTGGATGTTTTGTAATAAAATGTAGTTAATTATAAAATTAACACATATTCCCTGTATAAATCAACATAAAACTGAAAAGTTAGCAATTAAGATGAATAAATTGAATTACATTACCTTAAAAAAACTCCAAAAAGTTTGTGTATGCATTTTACTCAAGATTGGTTGGAGTTTAGTTTTTCTATATACTACACAGCATATTTAGATGTTAAAAGATGCTACATAATTTCTGTGTGGAAGTGTTGCTCATCCCCCAAAGATCAATGCAGACTGTAAATCAGTTGTATGCAACTCTTACAATGTGTTTTGTCAGTAACTCCACATATATTATAAAAATATATACACGGTATATTAAAAATAATTATACAGCTAAATGCAAACTTGCAACTGAAAGCTTTCAAATCCAAGGCAGAGCATGAATTTAAGAACAGAAACACCAAACGGAGCTCCCTGTTTGACTTCGACGTCACCAGGAAAGTAAACTTCGCTACCAAAGCAGTTCCTGCTGCAGTTATTGTAATTTTTTTAAACAAAGAAAGTTCTGGATGGTCCGTGTGACAATGAGATCAAGCTGATCAGGCAACTCAAACCCTTTCAGTTCAGACCTTTACCTTTTGATGCGTTCAAGCTCCTCCTCAAATGGCTGAATCCAGAAATGTCAACGCTCAAAAAGACCAAACTGCAGAACTCATCTCTTATATCAGCCTATAGCAAACATAGCACTGAAAGAAAGAAGAAAAAAAAGGGTGTTAGAATCAAAAAGATGAGACTTTTTAATGATTCCTGTGCATGTGGGATGCTGCTGAAGACAACCATTGGTCGCCCACACATCTGATTCCCAGATACCCTGACGGCCCCCAGAAATAAAGAACCGTCAGGGGACATATATTATGTAGGAAGTGCCTGACACACACACACACGCACGCACGCACACACACACACACACACACACACACACACACACACACACACACACACACACGCACCCCCACCCCACACACACACACACGCACACACACGCACGCACACACACACAGCTATCTAGTAGGCCTACGTAGGAGGGAGCTGTCAAGTCGACTGTTAATTATCAGTGAGGCTAACTTCAGATCTAGAAAAACTTTTTGTCTATAAATGCCTCAAAGACTCATGCCCATCTGATGAAAGCTGTTGTCCGTGTAACGCAGCTCGCTGACAGCGGCCACTTTTCATCAACGTAAAGAGGTGTCACGACTTGAAGAAGACATTAAGACATTTGCAATAGAAATTTCGTTGAATCCTGTTCAGTGACAATAAATGCTATTCTATTCTATTCTATTCTATTCTATTCTATTCTATTCTATTAAGCGCTGATGTTTCCCTGACGCGCTGCATGAATCTTTCTTGGGACAGCGCGGCCATCTGCTAATTGAAGTAGAACGGAAATGGATTGATTGGAAAGCTCTCGCGCGGACAGAGCGATCCCCAGGTAGACGAACCGTCTTTCTCACAGCGGCTGAGCCGCAGACGGGTTTTTTTTTTTTTTTGGGACTTTCGGCTGTTTGTCAACACATAAACGAGGAGAAACCGTGAGGGCCTCAAGATGGTTACAGCGAGAGGGAGGAGAGCTGTAGCATTCCTGCTGAATGAGTCACTTGCCTTTTGGCGGCCGCGGCTCCACAGCAGCTCTGCAATAGTATTTTGACGGCGAGGAGGTTTGTGGAGCAGAGGGAATTCAAGACGACTTTTAAAAACCTAGTTTGGTCAGATTGCCGAGTCTGTATGGGGGCTCAATAGTGGCGAGACTTACGGGTCTTTGAAAGGAACCAAATCTTCTGGGTTTTATGTTTTGTGGCGAAGTGACCCGCAGCGCCATTGTCGCCACGTTTGGCTCTGAAATCCACAGTTTCGAGCCGCGTTAGCTTTTCGGAGTCTTTTATCATATTCAAAAACTCTAAGTCGGCGGAAAATGATGTAGGCTACTTAAAGGTCGTCGCGAAAATCGCAGCAGAAACGGCTCAACCTGCAAAAAAGTCTCTTGCCAAGGTCAAAACGCAACAGGAAGTCGGCCATTTTTGGATCAAAGCCGCCATTTCCTCTTTTTCATCAACCTCGTGTCTGTCCTACAGCTTTTGAGAGGCAGGCTTCAGAGTCACTCTGCACACTCTTAAGGAATTGAAGGTCAAAAGTTATCTCAGGATCTTTTGTAGGCTACATCAAATCACATGGGC